TGTCAGATCTCAGCGTCTTCAATTTCTTTCCCGTCCTGTTCTCAACCATCGCCTTCCACTTCTTGAATGCCTCAAATACCTCATTCTTATGCTTCAGGAAATAAACCCAAGCATATCTTGAATGATCATCTGTGAATGAGACAAAATATCTGGAACCACCCTTGGAAGTTGTCGAAGCCGGACCCCAAACATCCGTGTGCACATAATCTAGTATCCCTCTGCTCTTGTGCTTGCTCCTCAGAAATTGAACCCTGTGCGCCTTTCCATACACACAGTCCTCGCAAAAATCCATGCAAGGCTTCTTCAGATTCTTCAGCAAACCCTCTTTACCAAGCAGATCCAGACCCTTCTCTGACATGTGCCCAAGCCGCCTATGCCATAACCGTGTGTGCTCACATGGGTCTCCACCACTTCCTTCAGCTCCAACTGCTGCATCTCCCGTCACCGTCGTACCCGAGAGAGTATATAGATTACCGTGACGAACACCCTTCATCACTGTTAAGGAACCCCGAACAACCCTCTTCACTCCGTTCTCTGTTACAATCTTGCAACCCCCGGAGTCCAAAGCACCGACTGAGATGAGATTCTTCCGCAAGCCGGGAACGTGTCGTACGTCCGTCAGGGTTCGAACCACTCCATCATGCATCTTGATTTTGATATCACCTAGCCCCACCGTTTTACAAGCATGGTTGTTCCCCATCAATACGGTTCCACCATCAATGCTCCTGTAGATAGTAAACCACTTCCTGTTTGGACACATATGGTAAGAGCAACCAGAATCAAAAATCCACTTCCCGGAGGTATCCTCGCCATCCGTGACGACATAACATTCCTTATCGCTCCCATCCTCTGAAGCGTAGCTCGCCTCTTCCTTGCCTTCTCGTCTTTCAGTCTTGTTGTTCTTTTTCCCACCTACTCTCTTGTTAGGATAATCGACCTTGAAATGCCCAACTTCACCGCATTTGAAACACACTCGTCCCACAAGAGGTCTCGATTTAGATCTAGACTTTCCTCCCTTGCCTTTTCCTCGCTCATTGCCTCTTCCTCTGGCAAACAGTCCCTGCGCTTGTTCTTTGTTACCACCAGTGGCCATATCACTAGTTACAAATTTTCGAAGATCATCCGCTAGAAGCGCCGTTCTAGTCTCATCCATCGACAAACTGTCACCCACAAGCATCAGTGTTTGAACCAGATTCTCATAGGACTTCGGCAGAGATAGAAGTAGTAGAAGCGCCTGATCCTCGTCTTCCACTATCACCTCAATATCTTTCAAATCCGATAAGATCCTATCGAACTTGTTGATGTAT